ATCCTCAGGGTGTCCCTCGGTGCTCAGCCCCTCACGCCCCACATCCGGCAGCACTGCCGAGACCTTCTTGAGCCTCGTGTGGGATTTGCGCTGCCGCACCATGAACCCGCCAATGCCTGCGGAACAGAAGGAGGGAGTATCACAATGGGGCCTGGGGGATCACAGAAGAGTCTGGAAGGGTTCAGGGCCTGCGGGACACTCACCAGGTCGGTATGGTTTGCGCTTCCTCTTCTTGCACTCCTCAGGGTCTTCCAGCCCCTTCCCTGAGTCCCCATCAGCTCCAACGTCGCGGTCGGGGCTGGCCGGAGCCTCGAGCTTGATCTCACACTCCATGTGCTCCACACCCACTGCCAGGGGGCTGCACGTTAGTGGGGTCCCCTGACACTCCCACACTGCGACCCCCCAGCTCTCCCACCAACACCCACCCTCAGCTTTGAGCAGCTCATCGGTGTCCAGGTCACCGTCCTTCTTGTCCTCAGGGCCCAGGGGGTCACCCCCCTCCAGCCCCCCATCCCCGTTGAGGGCGCCCGGGCGGCCCTTGCGCTGCCGCCGCTTGTGCAGGGGTGACAGGGTCAGGTTGCGCAGCACGGCCATCCCCGTCTCCGTCAGCCACACGCCCTCAAAGCGGAAATACTGGGGCTCTGAGGGGACAAATACCAGCGTTGGGGACAAATGCCAGCACTGGGTGTGTGGCCAGAAAAGGGCACACCCCAGGAATCCCACAGCCTTGGCATGGCCCTGCACATACCTGGATCCTTGGCTTTGATCATCTCTGCAGAAGGTGCAGGCACTGTGGCAGGAAAGCAGAGGGGCAGGTGAGTCCCCACACCACTCAAATGCCCTCCAGATCCCCCAGAGTTCCCCCCTGCCTCGTGAGCTCACCAGGTTTGACCACGTAGGGCTGGCAGGCGCTGCAGTCGAAGCCTTCATCCGCAGCCTGCTCCACCTCCTCCTCAGTGAAGAGGCTGTCGCACGCGGCGTGCAGCCACCTGCGGGCAGTGGGGGGGACTTATCACACACCACAGCCCCCCCGGAGGACCCCAGATTTGAGCCCCTCAAGCCCAGGGCACGGTGCTCACCGATCGCAGTGCCGGCACTGGATGAGCAGGTCGTCCTCCACGTACTTCTCGCGGCAGAAGGGGCAGACCACGAGGCTGGCGCAGGGCGCGCAGTGCGTGTAGTTGTTCTGCCACTCGCAGTGGAAGCCGGGGGATGCAGCCCCGCACTGCACACAGCACACGCACCTGCAGAGGGGGGCCCGAGGGGTCAGCGCCAGCACCGAGCTCCCCCCGTGGCTCCCGGTGTGTCCCCCACGCACCACTTGCACTTCCAGCCGCCCTTGGGCACGGTCTGCAGCGGCGGGTCCAGGCAGTAGGTGTGGTAGCTGATGTCGCAGTCGTCGCAGAGCAGCAGGCGCGAGGGGTCGGAAGCTTTGCCGCACACCTCGCACACGATGCACTCCACGCAGCGCCAGCCCTTCAGCAGCATCACTTTGGTGATCTGGGGACATGGGAGGGCAGCCACGTGAGCCCTGGGCATGGCCACGAGGGTCCCAGTCTTGGTGTGGCTGTGGGGGATACCCCAGGGCATGGCACGGATACACCAGAGCACAACTCAACATACAGACGTGCCTGGCACGACCTCGTGTGTGTCCCTGGGGGGCACAGCACCGTGCTGGGGTGAGGCCAGGGGTCCTGGGCCCTCTCCTCACCTTGCTGTTGACACAGTAGGGGTGATAGCACTGGGAGCACTGGGAGCAGGCGAGGAGGTGCCCCTCGGCCCCACGCCCGAAGCTGCCGCACACCACGCACATGTCCTGGTGGGGAGAGGTCATGAGTGAGGAGACAGTGGCTGGCAGAGGGGAGACAGAGTCTCTCCCACCCTGTCCGTCTGTCCGTCCTACCATGCACTGCTTACCTGCATGAGCACAAACTTGTCAGTGTTGGAGAAGAGGACAACCGTGTTCTGCATTGTGTCATCATCATCCTCGTCATCCTCCTTGCTGGGCGAACTCTCCACATCAGCGAGCTGAGGACAGAGCAGGAGGCTCAGCACTGAGGAAAGCCTCTCTGTGCAGTTTGGGGGACACCAGGAAGACGCAGGGGCAGCAGAACCCCTCCCCAGGGGGAAGCTCTGTACCTGCCCCATGCTTTTGTGGTGGTGCCCCAGGCTCAGCAAAGGCCCAGGCAGTTTCACCTCCCATGAGATCCCGATCCACCTCAAACTAAAGGTTCTTAAGTCTTTCCAAGAGAGGGATGATGGGAAAGGGGATGGGAGAGACTCTCAGCTCACAGCCTAACAGCTCAAGGATTCCCTGGACCCCACTTCTGCCCCAGCCCAGCCTTACTGCCAAGGTGTCAACAGACGAGGTGGTCGACTTCAGACGCGCACGGCCCCGGCCTCGGCCCCCATGGGACCCACCTCGGGGTCGTCTCCGCCCAGGGAAGCTGCTGCTGCGACCCTGTGGCCAAGGGGAGAGGGGAGTTACGGCACTGGGGGGCCCAGTGGGACCTCCGTGCCAGGGCAGCAGAGGGGCACTGCCCCCATCCACCCCACCACGCACTCAGCCCTTGCCTACTTGCTGCAGGGGCAGCCCAGGGAGGGGACGTGGCACCAGGGACGTGAGGGGTGCCCACAAAATCATGGTAAGTGGGGTCTGTACCTGCTTGACACGGGAGCGCCCTGGAGAGCTGCGGCGCCGGCTCTTGTCCCCGTCACCCTTGGCTGCTGGCTCGAAGAGCAGCGAGTCATCAGTCTCAGCACCCAGTGGCAGTGACCCAGCGTCCTCCTTCTGCAGGCTAGCATCAGCCGAGGCCGGGCCCAGCTCAGGGGACAGCGACCCCCCACCCTCAGGATCTGGGGACCCCAGCAGTGGCTCCGAGCCGGGGAAGCTGCTGCTCGTGTCCCCCTGGCTCAGGTTGGAGATCTCGTTGAGGATGTCGGGCCGTGGGCGCAGCGCGGGGGGCTCGGGGCACCCCTCGTCCCCCTGCCCCAGCAGCTTCTCGCCAGTAGTGCACACCTCCATGGGGGTCTCAGGGCCCAGCTCCTCCGCTTCCAGGAGCAGGGGTGACCCCGAAGGGGAACCCTTGACCTCAGGGTCCCCCCCAGCCCGGCCTTCTTCCAGAGCATCCTCCTCACTGAGTGGCGGGGAGCTTCCACTGGTGCCTTCCCTCTCCAGCCTTGGCGCCTCTTCTTCCTCCTCTTCCTCCTCTTCAGGCAGGCCTGGGAAGGGCCCCAGCTCAGGGGCTGGGCTGCCATGGGGAGCATCTCCAGGGGGGCTGGCTGGGGTCTCCCCCTCACCACCAGCCATCTCCATCTCCTCATCCTCAGGTGGCTCAGCAGGGGCCAGGGTGACAGCAGGGGAGCCCAGGGGTGGTGGTGGAGAGCCAGGGGGGTCGGTGTCCATGGCGGTGCCAGGGCTGCCAGGGGGCTCAGGCAAGGCTGGGGTGGGGGGCTCGAGCACCTCGTCCTCCTTAGCATCAGGGGAGGGGGCTGGGGTCCGTGCAGGTGAGATGGCACGGAGAGCTAGGGGTAGAGAGAGGAGAAAAGTGATATTACTGCCCGTCCCAGAGACGCCCACCCACCCCAATCCCAACTCTAGTGTTTCCACAGACCCACCTGGGGGAGCTGAGGGTGGAGGTGTCATCTCAGGGGGCAGCGAGGGCTCTGGCTCCAGCTCCATCTCCTCCTCGGGCAGCACCTCTGGAGCCAGGGCTGGCGCTTCCTCTGCCACTATCACCTCAGGGAGGAGACCTGGAGGATGGGGATGGGGTGAGGGAGTTCCCTCTACTCCCCTGTGCCACCCAGTCTGGGACTGAGAGGCATGGCCCTCCCACAGCTCCCCACGTACCCCAACACAGGGCACAGCACATGAAAATAAGGAGGAAAATGGGGATCAGGCAAAGCCAGTGCTAGGAAACGTGGGTGCAGGACCCCCACACTCACTGGAGAAAACAGGAGGGGAAAGAGGACAGTGAAAGATCACAAATTACCTGGTGGTTTCAGGTCCTCCTCGGGGTGCAGCTCACTGGGGACCAGCTCTTCAGGGGGTAACTCAACAAGGGGAGGCTCTTCAGGGCTCAGCTTCTCGGGGGGCAGTGCTTCAGGAGGAGCTTCCTTGGGGAGCAGCTCGACAGGGGGTGGTTCACTGGGGGGCAGCTCCTCGAGGGGAAGCTCCTTGGGGGGCAGCTCCTCAAGGGGTGCCTTGCTGAGGGGCAGCTCCTTGGGGGGCAGCTCCTCAAGGGGTGCCTTGCTGAGGGGCAGCTCCTCAAGGGGCAGCTCCTCAAGGGGTGCCCTGCTGAGGGGCAGCTCCCCAAGGGGCGACCTGCTGAGGGGCAGCTCCCCAAGGGGTGACCTGCTGAGGGGCAGCTCCTCAAGGGGTGCCCTGCTGAGGGGCAGCTCCTCAAGGGGCGACCTGCTGAGGGGCAGCTCCTCAAGGGGCGACCTGCTGAGGGGCAGCTCCTCAAGGGGTGGCTCACTGACGGGTGGCTCATCGAGGGGAGGCTTGGGAGGTGACCGATTGGGGGGCAGCTCGTCAGGGGGTGATTTGTCAATGGGCAATACTTCGGGGAGTAGCTCATGGGGGGGTGACTTTTCAAATGCTGGTTTCTCAGGGGGCAGCTCAGCAAGGGGAGGGACATCGAGGGGCAGCTCATTGTGGGGTGGTTCACTGGGGGGTAACTCCTCAGGGGAGGGTCTGTCAGGGGGCAGCTCAGCAAGGGATGGTATCTCGAGGGGCAGCTCCTCAGAGGGAGGCTCCTCGGGGGGCAGCATGAGAGCAAGGGGCTCCTCAGGGGGCTGCACATCAGGAGGCTGAATGTCAGAGGGCTGCATGTCAGGGAGTGGCTGATCGAGGGGCAGTTCATCAGAGGGCAGCTCTTCAGGGGGTCCCTCACTGTGGGGCACCTCCACAGAGGCCAGCTCGCCAAGAGGAGACTCAGCACTGCCTGGGGGAGCCTCCTTGGGGTCTGGGGGTGCCTCTTTGGCGTCTGGGGGTGCCTCGTTGAGGTCCACAAGGGGCTGTGTCTCCTCGTCACCTCCCACGGGCTCCAGCTCAGGTGGGGGTACGGGCACATCCGTCAGCTCACTGGGGGCAGGGGACTCTGACCTGGCATGGGGGAAAACCTGGGTGAGGGGGCAGCACTCAGGTCACCGTGTCCCCAAGGCTGTGGGACACATCCCTCACCCACAAAGGGCCTGACCCTCCCTCCCTCCACACCAGCACCCCCATCCCCACTCACATCTGGGTGGGCAGGTCAGGCCGTGGTGAGTGTTCCGGGGCCGTGGGGACATCGGCCGTGGCACGGCGCTGCTGGCAGTCCCCGCACACCATAGACCCCTGGGACCAACGGCAGCTGGAGTCAAGCCCCACGGGGTGCCGGCCACAGTCTGAGCAGACCCAGCAGTTCTGGGGGGAAGCAGAGATGTGTCAAGGGGTGCACTGGAGGGGGCAGGCACCCTGTACCCCCGAGTGAGAGCAGGACGTACCTTGCACTTCCAGGAGCCGGTGGGGAGGCCCTGGGTGGCTGGCTCCATGCAGGAGGTGTGGTAGCCCTTGTCACACGCCTCGCACACCAGCATCGCCGAGTCCTGGCCGCGCTGCCTGTGGGGCACAGGGGCAAGTGAGGGCTGGCACCCCTCCGTGGGTACATATCCCACTCTCCACCGTGGGGCTGGAGGCTCACCTGCAGGTTTGGCACACTTTGCACTCGGGGCACTGCCAGCCCGAGCGCTTGCGAGGCGTCAGAGAGATGTCCAGGCAGGTCCCGTGGAAGTGCTGCCCGCAGCTGGTGCAGAACACCAGGTCCCGCAGGTCGCCCGGCCCTTTGCACACCGAGCACCGTGCGTCCTCTGTCAGCCACGAGAGAAGAGGGTCAGAGCCGCCAACTTATGGGGTTCTACCAAGCCAAGACCCTTCACTAGGGTCCCAGCACCCAGGGGTGGTGTCCCCAGCCCCACGCACCCATGTCCACAGCCTCAGCCACGTGCTCGGGGCAGAGCAGCCGCAAGGTCTTCATGGACTGGAAGCAGCCGCTGGCGGCGGCACAGGGGAAGTGGTAGAGGCGGGAGCAGCCGGCGGCCGCCCGGCACGGGATGGTGGCCCCCGCCCGCCCGCAGCGTTCACATTTCTGAGGGCAGAGGAGTCCGAGGGGTCAGCGCTGCTGCAGGGCAGCCAAACGGAGCCCCTGCCATCCCTCCCGGACCCCTCGGCATCCGCTCACCTGTGAGATCCCTGAGAAAACAGCTCTGGCCACACCGGCCACCTCCGGCTCTGCACCAGCCGCCCAGGCCGCACACCAGTGGTGCACCCAGCAGTGCCCTGTGGGGAGGGGGCGTCAGGGACAGCTTGGGGACACCCAGATGGCAAGATGGGGACCCCTGTGCTGTGACCACACTCACCTGTCGGCTCGAAGAGCTGCGCTGGGGTCACCCCCTCGGAGAAGCCAATCTGTGACAGGCTGTCACCCACCAGCTCTGGCTCTGGGGGGAGCTGGCTGGGCCCTGGGGGAGGCTGGCCGGGCCCATCAGGGGGCTCGTGGCCCACCAGCCGCTCGGGCCAGTCGGGCACTGGCTCGAAGCGCTGCAGCTCCCGCTGCCCGTGTAGGCTCCAGTCCCCACAGTTGCAGAGGGCACAGCGGCGGCCCAACGGGCTAGGAGAGGGCAACAGCGGATGTCAGAGATATTTAGGACCCCCCCAATAGCTCCACGCCACCCCTGAGTCCTCCCACCCTCACCTGCCAGCCTCAGGAGGTCCCTCCATGCCCGTGCTCTCCGGCTCTGGCCCTGCAGAGGCTCCTTCGGGGGGTTTCAGGGGGTCCCCCTCGGCGCTGCCCATCTCCTCCGAGGACATCACCCCATCGGCTGTAGGGAGAACGGGTGTCACCATCACAGGGGAAACAGGGACAGGTCCCCAAATTCCTGCCCTGGCTCACCTGGCGTGGCTGCGTCCTTCTCCTCGCTGGGCACCTTCTGTTCGTCCATCCTGCCTCCGGCGTTCCTGGGGGGCCACAGCTGTAGGGGGGACATCCATAAGCACCAGGGATGATGACACCTTCCCCAGCACCGTTGCAGCCCCCCATGAGCCTCTACCCAAGGGACAGGGCAGCATCTTCCTGTCGCTCTCCCCCAAGGCAATTTGTAGGCTCTGGGATTGGGAATATCCCCCAAGGAGCAGGGGGTGGCTTCCTGCTGCTGGGGGGTCCAGGAGACCCCCTGGCCTCACCCATACCCCCCTGCTCTCCTAGGTCCTCTCCAAATCCAGGCAGTGACACCCAAACATATCTGGGGCAACCAAACCCCCAAGTGACCTCGATTAAATCGTTGGGGAAGAGGGATCAGTGACTCCAGGTCTACCACACATCAGCACCCCAGGGAGTCACCAAGACCCCTGAGGAGCCCTCGGGACCCCCTCAGGAGCACACCCAGTGTTCACAGCGAAGCTGAGATCCCCCCAGTGCCTCCCACGTGGGGGATCTTTGGGGAGAATTTAGGATTCAGCAGAAAACGGGGTCTCCACCACCAACACCTGCTTGTGCCTCTACTTCCTCAGGCGCAGCACTAATCCTGCACAGTAGGATACAGGGGTCCCGAGACAGATACAGGGGGAAGACTCACCCCAAAACACGACACACAAACCGGGGGGCAGCCATGCCCTGCTCTGCAGCCACCCCCTCCCACCACTGTCTCACGCGCACCCCAAAAACCCGAGACGGCTCCGGCACCGCGGGGGCAGGGGAGGGGACCCCAAACCTGACCACGAGCCACACACGGGGAGAGGGGGGAGATCTGGAGGGGACCCACGGTCACGGGAGGCCCCCAGTTCACAGTTCAGGGCACCAGGGACGGGGGAACGCGCTGGGGCAGCGCCAGCCCCCCACAAACCCGAGACGGCGGCGGGAGGGCGGAGGGAGCCCCCGGCGGGGTCCCGGCCGCGGGGTACGAGCGTCGTGTCCCACCCAGCACCTCCCCCCTCCCGGCTCCCGGTGGGCCCGGGGATATTCGGGCCTTCCCGGAAAGGCTCCGGGGCCGGGGGTATTGGGGCCCTCCCGGGAAAGGCTCCGGGGCCGGGGGGAGGCCCGGCCCGCGCCCCCGGTTGGGCCGGAGCACCACGCGGGGACACCCCCCCCGCACCCTCCCCGGCGCGCCCGGGCCACGCTTTCCCCGCTCCCCGGTGCAACCGGGGGGTCGAGCCGGCCAGGCCCCGATCCCCGGCCCACCGCGGCCTACGCTGGCACCGGCACCGGGCCCCGAGCGACGGGCCCGGCCGTACCTGCGCTGCAGCCGCCCGGGCCCCAGCGGTACCGGACACAAAGGCGTGGGAGCCGCGCTCTGGCCCGGCCCCGGTCAGGCCTTACCGGGAGCGGCGGCACGGCGGAGGCGGCGCGGCCCGAGCCCGCACGACCGCGGGGCCGCTCCTTCCGGGGCCGCCGGGGCCCGTCCCGCCCGCGCGGGCCCCCCGGCGGGGCCGTTTGCACTCCCGCGCCCCCCGCCCGGTGCTCACCCCCGCGGCCGCCCTACGCCGACGGGCCTCGGGGCGCGGGGCGTTCGGTGCTCCCCGGCGCGGCCATTTCCAGAGGAAAGTAGGTCCCGCCGCCCGCCCCCGCCCCGCCCCGCCCGCCCCGCCGGGGCCGCCGCCGCGCTGGGTCCTAGAGGGGAGCCGCGGACCGGGGGGCGCCGCCGCTCCCGCACTACTTTGGGCGGCGGGGGCTGCGGGCGGAGGGAGACGGTGCGCGGCGGGCGGGCGCTGCGGCCGCGGGGGGGGGGGGGGGGGGGGGGGGGGGGGGGGGGGGGGGGGGGGGGGGGGGGGGGGGGGGGGGGGGGGGGGGGGGGGGGGGGGGGCGCGGCCGCAGCGCACGCTGCCGGGCGGGGCGGGGGGGGAGATCCCTCCGCCGCGCTTAACCCCGGCGGCGCCGGGGCGGGAGCGCACGTGGGCACCGAGGGGGCGGGGCCGGCGGCGCGGGGCTCCGCCCCTTTCCCGGCACCGGCACCGGGCCGGCCCCGAGGGTGGACAGAGGGAGGAGGCCTCCGGGACCGCCGTGGCCACGGGCTTAGAGGAAGGGAGGGTGGGTTCCGGGATGGGGAACCGGTGAGAGCGGGACCGTCCACTGTGCCCCGGGCCGGTGTCTCCGTTATCAGCCGCTGTGTCCGGTCCTAGAGTTCCACATAGCAGCCGCCGGGACCGGTCCCGGTGTATTCGGAACAGCTACTGTGTCTGGTGTCGGTGTTCCCGGTCCCGGTGTCCCTGGAGTAGGCGCTGTGCCTGTCCTGGAATCCCTGGTAGCAGCCGCCGGGCTCGCTCCGGGGGTCTCTCCCCGGTAGCAGCCGCCGAGCTCGGTCCTAGTCCCCGCTCTCGGCCACCGCGTGCTGCTGCTGAGCCACGGTCCTGCACCGCGCTCACCCGGTTCCGGTATCTCCGGAGCAGCCGGTCCTGCTCCCCCCCCCCGCACGGTTACCGTGAGCCCCACACACACCCCTCGACCCCGTGGACCCCAGACCCTAAGGAGTAACACGGGGCCGGTACCCCCCGTGTGGGGCCACATCAGCCCCCTCGGACCCTGAAACCCCCACGGGACGGGGTAGGGGAATCAGACGCAGGGTCCCCGGGAGCCCAAACCACCAGTCCCAGAGATCTGGGAAGGTTATTGAGGGGGTACAGCCCCCCTGAGCCCCTGGACTGCATTACCCTGGCCCCATCACCCCAATAGCCGACTTCACACCCCCCAGCAGCTCCTGCACTTCTTTACCATCATAATTGGGTAATTAGCAATAATTAGCCCGACTGGGTGGAGATAAGCCACAAGGGGAACCGCAGCCAGAGCCCCCCCCAGCACACTCATGAACCGGGAGCTGAAGTTCTCAGGGAGAGAAATGGGGGGGACAGGGCTGAAGACACCTCCCAAAGGTCCCAGTGAGGCCCTTGGGGCTCTGAGCCCCATGAGGAGGGGGGCTCAGCCCCACAGCACATCCAGGGCTGGTGGGACCCCCGTGCTGGGGTGTTGGAGGGGGCCTCACATGCTGCCTCCTCCCCCAGCAAGGAACAGCCCCCCCAGTCCAGGGGTTTACAGACAAAACAACGTTTAATTGTTTCAGCCCTGACTCCCACGGGTCCGGCCCAGCCGGGCTGCGGCCCTGTGCTGGGAACAACACCCGCATTCAGCCCTGGCTGCCAGAGCAGGAACGGCCCCGACCTGTCCTTGTGTGTGTGGGGGACAGCAGTGATGAGCTGAGGGCTCCTGCCTGGGACAGAACCCCCAGCCTGCTCCCAGCCCCCCGTGAGCCCCACAGCCTGTGCAAAGTGAGGGGTTCCAAACCACAGCAGAACCACATGGCCTCCCCAAAGCCACTGCTGTGGTCTGGGTGAAGGCTCTGGGGAAGGATCTGTCCCATCCCAGGGATCACATCAGGTGGCAGCTGGTGGATCTGTCCACCCAGTTCTTCTCCTCAGTGAGTTTCATGAAGATTCGCATGGTCACCTGAGGACAAGGGGACAGTGCCAGCACATTGGGAACTCTGTTCACAATGCCAGGTGGGCTCTGCCCCCCACCTGGCTCTCCTTGGCTGAACTTGAGGAAAACGGCCCCCCATGATTCCACCAGCTTCTTCCCTTCATCTGTCCTCGTTTCCCAGCTGAGGACACAGCAGAGCAGGAGGGGACAGGCAGGATGTGCCGCTGGGCTGCACACACAGGTGGGACCCCCAGAGCCCCTCTTCCCTCAGCACGGCCAGGTCTGCCTTGTGCCCCACCAGCACCACGGGCATGCTGTGGGCACAGGCAGAATCCGGGCCCAGACCACCCTGGGCCCCCTCTCTGGGAAGGACAGCACCTACGGTGTCTTCCCCCGGCTCTTGTACAGCTTGTTGTGGAGGGTCTGGACCTGGAAGCTTTGAGGACAAGGGGACATCCAGGCACTTCTTCCCCCAGTCCCAGGTGATTCATCCCAGAGTCTCGGGGGTTCCTCACCTCCGCAGGGATGTCACCAAGTAGACCAGGATGTAGCCGTGGATGCCGATGATGAAGGAGTGTGGCAGGATGGTGTACTCGTCCTGTGGGGGGGAGGAAGGACAAAACCAGTGGCAGGGGCGGCTGGGAGTCCAGCATCCCCACAACACACCCAAATTACCCCAGCATTACCTGCCCAGTCATGAAACTCAACCTTGCCCACCACCACCATCTTGTTGTGGGCTGCAAGGGTGACACCAGGTTGGGGGGCTGCCTGGGACCCCCGAATCCTCCCCTCAAGGCTCAGACCCACTTCCACCTCATTTCAGAGGCACCTCAGCCCCCAGCAAAAGGTTTTGGGGCACAACCCACTCCCCACAGAAGTGGGGACACATCTGTGCTCATCACCTGTGGCCCCACAGCACCCCTCCCGAGTGGGACTTACTGCTCTCCACCATGGGCTCCTAACACCCCACGAACTTTCCCTTCACAAATTGGAGAGCCAGGGATGTTTTACCGGGGTGGGGGGAAACAACACGGCTGGGTGGTCCCGGCTTCACCCCGGGGCAGGGGACGGAGCCGGACAGAGAGACGGGAACCCCTTTCCTGGGGGAGCTCCAGGGGATATGGCACCGGGGCCACAGCACCCACCGTGCCCGGTAATCACCAGTGGAGAAGCCCCGCTCTCACTCATCCCCCCGGGCAGGGACCCCCAGAGGGCAGCACGGAGCTCCGGACACCCCCAGGCCGAGCCCCCTCGCACGACATAGGGCGCGGTAACCGAGGGTGAGAACTTCGCGGGGCCGGGCGGCGCGGGCGGGCGCGGAAAACGGCGCAATAAAAGCGCCCGCCGTGTCGGGGGGCGGGGCCGCCGCCACTACACCGGCGGCCGCACGTGACCACAACACCGCCCGCGCGCTCCCATTGGCTGAACCGGGCGGGGAGGGCGGGGCTAAGAGGCCGCGCAGGCGCATTGGCCAATGGGGCTCTCCATTCATGAAAACGGAGGGAAGGGCCGTGGCCACGTGGTGGTCGCACATCTGAGTGGGAGTTGGGGGGAGAGGGAGGGTTCTGGTCCTGCCCTCCCCCTACCATGTCCCCCCACAACCTGTCCCGGCCCGGGAACCCCTGGGAACACCCACACCCACCTCCTACTCCCCGAGGTCCCCATCTCGGCTTCTCTCAGCACTACGGCCCCCAGCGATATTTCAGGATGTTTGACCCCTGCCCCAGGGATCCCCAGCCTCTCGCGATGCCCGACTCAAGCCTCAGGGATCCCCAGCCTGGGAATACCCCAATTTCCTGCAGTGCCCAATCCCAGCCCCAGGGCCCGACACCCTGCTGGGGATACCCCAGCCCCTGAGTGCTGCATTGCTATTCCCCTTACCAGAAAATGAGTCACGAGGTTGTCTCCATCTGGCCAAAATTTAGAGGGAGAGTGAGTTTTTTGCCCATTTGGGGGCCAGAAAGGCTGGGGGGGAACTGGGCTCCCTACTCCAGCACCAGGGACCCCCAGAGCCCCAGGGTGTCAAACCCCCAGGGATACCCCAAGCCCCCTGAAATGTCCAGAAATAACCAATCCCAAGATACCCCAGCTGGATATCCCAGCTGCTCAGGATGCCTGGCCCCCATACAAATGAATCCCAGCCTCTGGCATACTCCAGCCCCAGGGATACCCAGCCCCCTGGGATGGCCAGTTCCAGCCCCTCCAGACTCCTCAGCCCAGCCTTACACATCCCCCACTTCCAGCCAAAGCTCCAATAGGGCCATAGACTTTCTTTATTCTCCCAAACAATTAAATAGTAGTATTTCTTTTGTTTTTCAAACTGAAGTGGTTAAAAGCAGGCTGCCTCCTGCCCCATGGGGTGAGCCCTGCTGCTGGGGCAGGCAGGCATGGGGAACGTTTATATTACCATTTTTAAATAGAAAAATAAAACTCTCAAGCAGGGCAGGTTAGCGGTTAGCATGGTTAGAGTTGGACCTGGCACAGGATCCGTGTGCCCGTGGCAGACACCCAGTGCCCACAGCAGACACCCCGTCCAGCCACCCCGTGGTGCAGGGACAGGGACGCTGTGGGTGACAGCGACAGACAGAACAAGGGGATGGGCAGGAACTGCTGCCAAGTGCTCAGTTTTGGGGTGTTTTTGGCATCCCTCCAGCAGGATTTGGCCACAGGACAGGGTCTGGTGGTGCCTGGCTGTGGCTTGACAAGCACCAACTCCGGCCCCAGCGCAGTGGTTAATAAAGCAATAAATACTGGGAGAGCATGTGGGGGTCCGGGAGTGGGGACCTGGCCGTGGGGGGCTCTAGGACACAGGACAGGGCTGAGCCAGGTCCCTGGGCTACCCCGTGCCCCTCCATCCCATCCCCTCCACCCCATGCCCCAGGACAGTGCTGAGCCCCAACCTCCCCGGGGGTGCCCCTGTCCCTCCTCCCCGGGTCCGAGGGGTGTCCAGGGCTGGAGTCCCCCGTGTGGCGTCCAGTGTGCGGCATCGCCTGCCACGTGGTAACTGGGGGAGCAGGGACCCCTACACCTGCAGGGCCTCCTGGCCCAGCACGCCCCCAGCCAGGCGATAGAGCAGGCGGGAGTACCAGTGCATGCCCGCCTCTGGCACCGTCCCATTGCCCACCTCGGGGTGGGCTGGCAGCAGCGAGAGGAGCCCATGGAAGAGGCGGAGGGGGGCAAACGCCCGGTGAGCCCAGCGGTGGCTCTCTAGGACGGCGTAGCAGGATGCCAGCACGCCATTCACCAACAAGGTGCCGTGAGAGGTGAGGGGGGCAAAGACCCCCACGCCATCCTCCCGAGACACCCGCAGCACCCGCGTGGGGCGCAGCCCCTGCCCGCCAGCCCCGTGGGCCAGCACGGCGTCACCGGGGCGCACACGGCGGGCGAAGATGGGCAGGAAGGCGGCCGAGCCGTTGGCCGCCCCACGGGCAGCGAACACCAGGTGGGACGGGGTGAGGAGCAGCCGGCGGGCTGGGCTGGCCGTCTCGATGGCCACGAAGGAGGCGCGCTGGCCCAGGTCCCGGTCGAGGAAGAGCAGCACCTCAGTGGGCACCAGGCGCCCGCCTGGCTCGGCGCCCAGCACCCAGTCACCTTGGCGCAGGTCAGCCAGGCCCCGGCGCTCGCCGCTCTCCAGCGTCACGGTGGCGTGGCCGGGAAAGCAGCCACCGGTGCGGACAGCCAGCGAGTTATCTGGGAGGATGGAGAAAGTTATCGGCGTCCCCATCAGCCACCTCCACCGGGCCACCACCTCCAGAGGGGAAACGGCAACCCCCGGACCCCCAAACCACCCCCGGAACAAAGCGGGTATTTTCCAAAGCTCCCCCAGTTCCTGCATGCAGCTCCTGAACACTGCAGGGCCCCTTTGTCCGCCCTGCACTGACGCCCTTTGTTCCGGGCTGGAACGGTGACATTTATGGCCATTTTCACTTTCTGTCAATTGTCACTTCTGGACTGGATGGGAACTGCTGGCTGGAGCAACTGTGGGGCTGGAGCCTGCGGGGCTGGAGGCTGCAGGACTGGAGTCTGCATTGCTATTCCCCTCACCAGGAGCTGAACCGCAAGTTTGTCTCCATCTGGCCAAAATTGGGGGGGAAAGTGAGGTTTTGGCTATCGGGGGGCCAGGTAGGCCAAGGGGAGCTGGACTGGCTGAACCCACTGGGGCCAGACACCAACTGGAGCAATAAGCCCACACGGATCCAGGATGTCAAGGGGGAGCAGCAGGAGCTGTGAGGCTGTGGGCTGGGATGTTTATGGGGATGGCAGCCCCCTGCCCTGGTGGCAGCCCCTTCTATGTGGTACCTGCTTTGACGGAAACATGGATGTGTGCCTTGGACTCGTAGTAGACCCAGTCGAAGCCAGCCTCCACGGCCAGCCGTGCCAGCATGCCGTACTTGTGGCGGTCGCGGTCGGACGTGGTGATGTCCAGTGCCCGGCCCTCGTAGTGCAGAGAGTCGGGGAGGTGGTGCCCATCCTCGTCCCAGCCCTCTGTCACCCGCAGCTTCACCCCTGGCCACATATTCATCACTGCGATGGCCAGCGAGTTCACACGCTCCTTGCAGCGCTGTGGGGACATGCCAGCACCGATGTCACCCTCCCCACAACAAACAGGGGACAGGTCCTACAGGGACAGACAGATACCAGGCCTGCAAAGGGCTTTGAGGGAGCCCAAAGGGGCTGCTGTGGGGGCAGATCCCCAGGGTGCAGAGAGGGTCATGGCCAAGCTGCCCCCTTGCCTGGATGCAGGTTGAACGTTAACGTGCCCCGGGGTCCCGTGGTGGAACTGCTCCACGGGCAGCTGGGCAGAACAGGCAAGGGGCCGGGACAGGCACCGGGACGGTGTCACCTTCCCCGCGGCCACGGCCGTGACTGATTAACCTGGTGGGGGGGCTGTGAAGCAGAGCTGACCCTGAACCAGCAGCGGGTCTGGGCACACGGGGAGAGTGGGGCGTCCCAGGCAGTTCTGGGGTCCCTCTGCGCATCAGCACTGGCAGCATCGCCATGGGGTGCAGGGGTCGGAGCTGTCTCCGTCCCCCCCCGCAGCTGCTGAGGTCACAGCGTCCGTCAGTGCCCCAGTGCTCCCCCCCCTCTCTCCCCCGTTCAACAAAGCGGCTCCCGGGAGCGCGGGGCCGCGGGGGCGGGAGTGCGGGGCGCGGGCCCGGGGCGGCCGTGCCGGGGGGGCGGCAGCGGCAGGGGGGAAGGAATGCGCTCGGCCCGGCCCGGCCCGGCTCGGCCACAATAGGCGCCTTCCAGCCCGGAGCTGACCTCAGGCCCCGGGAATGCCGCCGCGACCACAAAGGGCTCTTTCAGCCACCCGCACCCCGGGCCGGCTCCGTGCCCGCGGCCCCGCCGGGCCCCGCCGCCCCGGCCCCGCCGCCTCCGCCGTCCCGGCTCGCGGGAGCTGCCGGCGCCGCCTGGACCACTCGCAGCATCCCCCGTCGCCATGGCGACCGCGGGGCCGCCCCTTGCCATGGCAACCGTGAGCATCCCGACGGGTGCGCGGCGCGTCCCGGGCTCCTGCTGCCCCGGATTCCCCCCGAGTACAGGGGTACCGGGGCCTCCCCCTCCGCGCTGACCCTGGGGCCGGGGCGCGGCAGCGCTGGGGGAGTGGAGTCTCCGGTGCCTCGTGCCCCCGGTGCCATCCCGTCCCATTAATCCCCGACGGTCCCGAATGCACAATGCGACGGGACTGCCTGGTTCCGGGGCTCCGGTGCTGCCGATCCCCTGGCCAAGGGCCGTGGAAGGGAGCAGGGAACCGGGGTGAGGCACCGTGCAGCCCCGGCAGGGACCCTGCGCCCCGGGAGGCTCCGTGATCCCGGAGAGGGTCGGTGCCACTCGGGAGGATCCGTGAGCCCCGGGATGATCGGTGCGCCCTGGAGAGGATCAGTGGCGGCCAGGAAAGCTCCGTGAGCCCCTGAGAGGGTCGGTGCCGACTGAGAAAGGTCTATGAGCCCTGTCGAGGGTCGCTGTGATCCCGCCCATCCCTCCACCGCCCCCGCGCCCCCGCGCCCCCGGGAGCGAGGCCGGACCGGGCCGGGCCGGGCGCAGCCCCCACCTCGGTCATGAGCCGGTCCGCCCCCGTGTTCTCCTCGTCCTTGAAGATGATGTCGGGGTTGTAGTTGGGCACCAGGTCCCTGAAGCGCTCCGAGCCCCGCAGCACTTTGCCCTCCGCCTTCCCGCTCGCCCCCAGTGTCTGCTCGGGCACGTTGGGCACGAACTGCTTGTAGAGCAGAGGCGAAAGCTGCCGCCGCCCCAGCCGCCGCCGCCCCACCGGGCCCCGACCCGGGCCGCAGCCCAGCACCGGTGCGGCCAGCAGGCAGGCGGCGAGCCCGAGCAGGACGAGGGCGAGCGGCCTCCACCGGGGCATCCCGCCCGCCGGGCACCGCTGCCTCCGCGGGTCCCGCTCAGTCGCCGGGGGCACGGGCGGCTGGGGCGGGCATGGTCCCGGTGTGGCGGCCCCGGAGCTTTTAGATGGTCTCGGTGCCAGGGGCGGGTCGGCGCCGTTTCCTTCTCACACCCACGGTCCCGTCGCTGCTGCGGGATCCGCGGCCGCTCGGGACGATTGACCACCCCCCCGTGCCCCCCCCTCCGGTTCCGCCACCCACTCGGAGCGCCGCCGGTTGCGCGCCCACGGTATCAGCACCCCCTCGCCTGGCGCTGCACCCTGGTCCGGTCCTGGTCCCTGACACACTCCGAGCCTTAGGAAAGCCCTCGCAGAACTGCGTCCCAGCTCCGGGCACTGCCCTGGCACTGGCACTGGGCGCCCGGCTCCTGAGGCTCCCCCGGGACCGGCACTGGGATCTTACCCCGCGTCCCAGCCTTGACCCCCTTCCTGTCTAAATCCCGCACTCTGATGCCGCCTCCTCTCCACGGTTCCCGCACTGCTCTCCGGTACCGGAACCCCACCTAATCCGATCCGATCACCGCCGTTCTGGTCCTGGGACCTCTCCTATCACTGCTTGTTGGGATCGGGGACCCCTCTCTCCCAGTCCCGGTCCTTATTCTCCTCCCGCTGTCCCTTGCACCGAGGACCCTCGTTATTCTAAGTCTGTGCCGCCGGTATCCGCACCTGCTCCGTCCCCTTGTCACAGCTCCGCTCCCGGGACTGGCTCCCTGGCACTACCCCGGTCCCCTCTGTTCGCTCCGACCCACGGTCCCCGTCCCCGTTCCTGGCCCAGCCCCCGGTACCGGCTGCCTTGGATGCCGGTCGGTACCGTGCGCCGCCCTCAGCCGCCCCGGCCGGGCTGCCCCCACCGTGGCCGCTCGGCTTCGGCGCTGGGCAGCCCCTTCGGGCCCCGCCTCGGACCCGGCCCTCGGGAGCGGCGGCAGCGGCGGCCACATCCCCCGGGGCCGCCCCCGCCGGGCTGCCCTGCCCCGGCCGGCCCCTCCGCGCCCCGGGACCGCGGCACCCCCGGACCGGGACCGGGCTCCGCCAGGGATCCAGGTACCGCCGAGGACGGGGTCGGGCTGCTCCAGAACTGGCACCGGGCTCCAACAGGGACATGGACGCCTCCAGGAGCGGGGCACCCCCGGGACCGGGACCGTGTCCCCCGACTGAGCACCCCAGAACACCCGGAACATCCCGGCCAAGCGCCCAAGGGGACTGCGGGCCCCGGCTTGGGCAGGAGGCAGCAGAGGGGTAGTGGAGGGTTGGGAGAGGTTCGGGGGGGTCCCGGCCGCCACAGCCCCCTCACAGGTTCCCCGCAGCCCCGGTGCCAACCCGGGGTGACTGGGAGGGGAGCAGGTCGCGGGGAAATCGCGGGCACCGATGGCCTCATTTCCTGCAATATAAACCAGGTTTCCTGTGCTTCCTGCTCGGCCCCAGCCGAGGGGGGGGGGGCCTGGGCCCCCCACCCCCGCCATGGAGGGGCGGGGGGCGGCCTGGCTCAGCCCCAGCCGGGGCAGGATGGGTGGGGGGCCGGCTCTCGGCAGTTTCCGCTGACCCTCCATCCCAGGAGGTGAAGCCTCTGCTTTGCCCCTCATTTGGGGTACATCAGCCCATATCTCAAAGGCTCTCGGAGCCCCCCAACACCCCCAGGGTCCCTCAGCCCGGGCGGCAGGCAGGGCTGCCCTCGCCTGTGGCCCTGCCTGGAAGAAGCTCGTTAACCCCAACCAGGAAGAGGGTTAATTATGGCCTCATCGGGGCTATAGGGAGGGGCAGGACTGTGAACCCCCAAGGCAGGGACACCCCGCCCCTGTCCCCTTCCTACTCGGTCCTGCCCTCGGGAGGAATAAAACCCCCAAATTCAAGCATTTTTATATAAAAACTGTCACTATTTATTTCTCCAAACAAGTTCCGTGGTAACAGAGACCAAATGTACTCATCACATCAAGCTGCCGGGGGGGGGGGGGGGGGGGGCCTGTCCCCTGCACCCCAGGCCCCCCGATTAGGGACCCCAAGGGCCTGAGAATGGGCAGGGGACAACCAGTGTCCCCCTGCAGCCCGAGAGTGACACAGGGATGGAGTGTGGAGTGACTCTGGGCAGGGAGCACACGACCCCCTCCCACAGTGTCAGGACAGTGCCCAGGTGGGGCAATATTTAAAACTCAACCAGACCCCAGGGAGGAGCCAGGGGAGGTCGGGGTGTCCCGGCCATTCTTGCACGAGGTATGTAAACGGGGGGTGTGGGGGGCTGCAGCCAGCACAGCCTTAGGGTGACCCCAGACCCCTTAGGATGTGTGATGGGGATGTGGCTCAAGGCCAAGGCTCAGTAGCACAACACACTGAGACAGAGAAGAGGAGGTGACCCCCAAAGGTGTCTCGGCTTTCCCTGAGGGGCTCTGATGTCCCTGAGGTGCTGTCATGGCCACCTCTGTGGCTGGCAGCCACCTTGGGCGCCACCACAGCGGGGGGGACATGTCCCTGTCCCCCAGCCCTAGCAGGGCTTGAGGAGAGGCTGGCAGAGGTGTCGGCCCTGCCCATGGGGTCTCGGCTCTCTCTGAGGGGCTCTGATGTCCCTGAGGTACCAGGCAATGTCACGGCCACCTCTGTGGCTGGCAGCCACTCTGGGGGCCATCACAGTGGGGAGGACACGTCCCTGTCCCCCAGCCCTAGCAGTGTTTGCTGCGGGTCCGGCAGCGCGTCACAGGCAGCGGCAGCTTGTGCAGACCTGGATACAGGGAGAGTGTGAGAGCCAGGGTGGGGGACAGGGGACACCCCAGCACCCATCCCTGTGTCCCCGTGTCCCTGTCCTCACCAAAGGCACGGATGAGCTCTGCCTGGACTGCCCAGGACACCCTTTTCACCAGGCAGAGCGTGGTGAGCCCCGCAAAGCTCATGTTGTAGAGGAAGACAATGTAGAAGTTTCCCAACCAGTTGAAGCGGCCAAAATCCCCCAGGAGGTCAAAACGGGTGATCCCTGCACAGGGGTGGGGTACAATGGTCAGGGCACCCCAGTCCTGGGGGACACCTCCCTCCAGGCATCACCCTGATCCCTCTGGAAGGCTCACCCAGTGTCCTGGAGAAGACAGGCAGTGCTGAGCTGAGCACCAGCAAGGAGACACAGTTCCCGATGATCTGGGGAGAAGGAGGAGGTTTGGGGGGGCAGTGCTGCTGCAGGGAACCCCCAGGCTGGGGAAGGGGCTTCCCAAATGCCAGGGAACCACTGGGGGGTATCCTGCCTGGCAGTGGGACACTGCTCTCCCACACAGGGACACCACAAGCAGTGCACAGGGACACACTGTGGGGAACAGGGTCCTGCACCCCCACAGGAGCCCCCCAGCCCCGTCCTGCTGCTCCCACCTTGGTGAGGGGCGTGTCCTGCCGCTCTGGCAGCAGGCGAGTGAACAGAGGGGAGCTGTAGAAGCCCACAACAGAGGAGACCATTAGGTAGCTGCAAGGAGTGTTAAGGAGGAAAACAGGATGGGATGGCGCTGGGAATAGTTCTGGGGACAGAAGGGACATCACTGGGGACACAAGTGCCTGTCTGAAGGATACAAAATGAGGACAACTTGCAGTGCAGCTCCAAAGGAACCAAAGATGGAGAAGGAAACCTGGCCCAGGGATGCATCCTGCAGGAAGAGGAGGGCACAGGTTGGAGAGGAATGGTCTCCAGATCTACGAGGGACCCTGAGCTGTCCCTTCCCCCCACTCGGATACCTGGATGCCCCGTGGCATGGCAGCATCATCCAGCAGCAGCTCCAGGACGTGGAAGCAGACAATGAGCACAGAGATTCCCTGGGAGGAGCAGGGAGGGAGTGAGGGCAGTGGTGAGGACGGGGACAACCCCCAGCTCCCCTGGGAGCCCAGGGCCACTCACAGTCAGTGCCAGGAGGCCCAGCATGGCCAGGGGGTAGCCCAGGTTCCTCTGCCAGGGCGATGCTCGGTGCCGCAGCTCTGTGGGGAGGATGTGCCCAGGTGAGAGGAGAGCACAGCTCCCGCTCAAGGAAAGGCAGGAGATTGAGGAGGCCCCAAAGTGCCAGGATGGGGCGTCTCCCACCCACCCAGCCTCCACAGAGCATGGACTTTCAGGGTTCCAGTGCTCCCAGTGCCAAGCTGGAGGGAACCCAGTCCTGGCCTTCCCCCTGCCAGGCTCCTCACCCAGCTTCCGCCTCTTGCTCCGGATGGCAAAGAATTGCTCCCGCAGCATCTCCATGTCCAGATTCAGCCAGCAGGAAGCTTTGCCTGCTGGGGGGAGACACAAGGGGCTCAGGGGGGATGAGGGCTCTTATGTGGTTGGGTAGAGGGGCCCCCAGTCCACCCCATGCTCCCCTTTCCCAGCCAGCAGCACCCACCAGAGCGAATTCTGTGGGACACAGCGGCTTCCTCAAACCTCGTGCAGCTCAGCTGCTCATCCAGGTCTTCCAGGAGCTGGGGATGGGTGAAGAGCCTGTGAGTGGCTGCAGGGGTGTGTGAATGCCTCCCCATGCCCGAGGTGGGAGACCAGGCAGCCCTGGGGGCAGTCACCCCCAAAGCTGGGGCGGAGGGATAGCAGGGGACACCTTACCCGGGGTTTCACCAGCAGCTTCCCAGTGACAGTGAACATGGTGGAGAGGCCAAAGGGGGTGCACACTGTGGTAGGAGGAGAGGCTGAACAGGAGGTGCCTCACCATCCCCACAGCCCCAGAAGGATCCTGGAGGTTTCAGCCATGAACCGCAGCCCCTCCAGACCCCAACTGCATGGAGCACCACCAGGGCCTCATGGGGACACAACTTACACAGCAGAAGCAGGACACCAAAAAGCGAGATGCAGGAGTAGAGGTAGGGCAGATAATATTCCCAGAGAACTGTGGAGACAGTGGGATCAGGCCAGTGGCACCAGAGATCCCTTCTTCCATTCATTGCCAGGGTCTGATCCTGGAGCAGGGGGAGCCCAGCACACCCCAGCAACACCCACCATAGAGTGACTGGCGACTGGCAGCGTCGTTGCCCACGATGGCAGAGGCCACCCAGACCATGCCCAGCACCAGCAGTGTCAGCAGCAGCAGCACCACCGACGTCTCATACACCCTGGCCATGATGCCCTGCAGGAGCTGGATTAGCAGGGAGCCACAGAAGAGGGGACAGGGGGGACACGTTTGGGGCAGGGGTTTGCAGGATCACCCACCTTCTTGGATCCTGCAAACCCTTCTGACTCAGTGAAAAAGTAGGCAAAGGGCATGAGGAAGACCAGGGACATATTGGAGAAGAGGAAGACCAAATTCCAGAGGCCTGGAAGAGGGGGAACAGCATGGAGTGAGCTCCCAGGCAGGGCAACTTCGACCCACAGATTTTGGGGACACCCCAGGGTCACCCCGTGCACGCACCATGAATAAGGGACCCGTTCAGCCACTGGATGTAGTAGTTCTGGGGGAAGGAGAGCAGCACCTCGTTGCTGATGATGGAGAAGGGCAGGAGGAGGACGGCACCCAGTGCCACAGCCAGGGTGAAGGTACAGAGCCCCAGCCTGCCGAGGGAAAAGCATCACCTCTGGGTCAGGGCTCCTCTGGGTGTCACAGCCTGGCTCTGCCACCCAGCATCACCAACACCCACAGGACACGGTGTCCTGGCCGAGGAAGAGGAATCAGGGACAAGCAGAAACTTACGCAATCCTGTTGACAGCAGCATCCTCGTCATCGTGAACTGCGGGGACAAAATCCCAAACCAAAGGGCTGGGGGAGGTAGGGCTGCCCAGAGCATCGCTCCCTGCCCCCTGCCCAAGTTCTCCTCTCTCCAAATGCTGCAGAAATCCTCCCAGGGAATTTGCTCCCACCTAGGGCAGCTGGGGGGTGCCTGGCAGCAATTGGTGTCACAGCAACCAGGCTGTGGCAGGACCAGGGCTCCTGGGGGAGGCCAAAAGCAATGGAGGAACAGGAAGAACCCTCGGGAGGCTGAATGTGGCTGTAAGGGCTGCCTGGCTCTGGCAGCTCCCTCTCTCTTACCTCCTGTGAAATCCGTGTGCTTCTTAAAGTGGGTTATGATGAAGTGGCAGAGGATGTAGAGGCTGGCAAAGAGCAGGGCACAGATCTGGGGACAGAGGAGTGTGGGCACTGTAGGCATGCCCTGAGGACAGCACTCCTACCCGGCTCCTACCCCTGGTGATGCTGCCAGCCCTGGGGCTTGTCAGCTCCACCCTATTTGTTTTTCCACTCCTGGCCCTGGTTACACCCCACTCGTGTGGTCAGACCTATCTGTTCAATGAGGGCTGCACACAGGGTTCACACATGGATGCCCACAAGCTGGCACAGCACCGAGGCCAGGGGCCTGAGAGCCCACCCAGGTCTGGATCAACCTGTGCAGGCAAATCTGTGACCCCGTGGGACATCCCTGAAGTGCCCGGTCCCACAGCCCTTGCCTTGCTGGCACCAGCACCCAGAAGAGCCACGGGAACAGCCTTGAATCAGGCGCCAAGGACATCTGCAGTGTCCCTCCCGCCCCCGCTGGAACGCCGAGGTCAAGCCAGAGCAGGCGATGTTCAGGGAACACGGTGACCTTTCATCCCACTGGGTACGCGTCAGGATGAGGAAAGGTCGCCTGAATCCTCCACCTTGGCACAGGTGCAATGGGAAGCAGCTGTGTCACTTCCCTTCTGCCTGACTGGGGGTGCTCTGACCCTCGCTGAGGGTCCCCAGGATCTGCCAGTGGGGGTGGCAGGGAGCCCCCAGGGCTGGCCCAGCTCTGGGCTTCCAGAAGGGCAGTGCCCAGCAGGTTCTTCTGCTCCTACTCCCACCCAGTGAAGGGTCTCAGGCCACAGGTTCCCTCCTGCCACGGGCTGTACCCCACAGATGAACGATTTGCCGGGTGGGGGGAGCCCCAACTCCTCCTGTACTCAGTGAAGTCGTGCCAAGTTTTGTGCTGCCTGTGCTAAGCCAGGGTGAGACACAGCTCCCTGGGATGGACGTCTGGGGTCTCCAGGGCAGAGATGCCAGGCTCTGGCCACCAGGCATCGAATGTGGCTGTGGCAAGGTAGCCCTGGCACTGCTGGTCACAGCCCACTTGGCTGCCCCGCATGCAGCATCCCAAGGCCCTTAGGAGATGCCAGGACATCCAGGTCATTCCCATCCCTGAGCCTGTGGCAGTGGGAGCAGAGGAGCAGACCCAGCTGGCTCCCTCTGCGGTGCCCGAGGTTTAACGGGCTTTGTAGGGTCCCTTCCTGCTGGCCTGGAGACAAGGAGCCTGGCATGGGGCTGGCCCAGCTCTGACACCACCACAGCCCAGCACTCCCAGCCCTCCCAGCACGACAGGGCCGCAGCTGGCACTGCTGGAGCCGGCAGAGGGGTCGCGGCAGGGGCTCAGCAGCGTCCAGCCCAGGGACCCCGCTATCTGCTGGGCACACGCAGCCGCCCCGGCTCTGGCCCCGATAAGCGCGGGGTGTGGAGCACTGCCACGGCCGGGCCGTAGAGCTGCCACCGGGGATCCCGGCGGTCCCATGGAGGGCTACGAGCCCCCAGCCCCCTTCCCACCTCTCCCCGCCACACCAGGGCCCTTCCCCCGCCTGCCGCCCCTCACCGCGGCCCCCAGGAACTCACGATGCACTCGCGGACCCTCTCGTGGAAGAGCTGCTCCCGCACGGCCAGCGGGTCCTGCTCCACAGGGGCCATAGTGCGGCCAGCATGGCAGGGCCGGGCGGGGCTGCTGCGGGCAGGGGCAGGAGGCAAGGCCGGTACCGCCAGCCCGGTGCAGCCTCTCCGGTACCGCCGGGAATCGCCGCTCCGAGCCCGCCGAGTCCAGCCCAGCGCCGCCGGGGGTGGCCCCGCCCCTCCCGTGACTCCGCCCCCCGCGTCCGGTCCTCGCTACAAAGCGTCCGCAACCCGAACGGGCCCGGCCGGCCCCGCCTCCTGCCGCCATTGGCTCCCAGGCTTGAATGAGGCGAAGCTCATTGGTCGAAGCGCGGCGCGCCGCGCGCTGATTGGCTGATCCCGCCCGCCGCTCCCACGGGCCCGCGGCCCCAGCGCACCCCCCGGAATTAGGAGCAGGGATGGAGTTAATCCTGGGACACGGCTAATCCCGGGCGCGTTAATCCCGGAGAGCCGCGGGGGGCAGGACTGGGCGCCCGAGCGCTGGGGGCACCGCGCAGGGCATGGCTCCCCTAGGGGGGAAGCACAGACAGTTCATGAAGGAACCCAGCAGGACCCCCGGTGAGGCCCCACGGCGTGGATTCCAGGAATGTGGGGACTCACCCCCCCAGCTAGCAGAGCAGAAGAGGGCTGGCCAGCTCGGGTAGCAGCAGTATCATGCCAGCTGCCTCACTGGGCACAGACAATAGGGACAGTCTGTTCCCACGGGATGGGGCCAGCCGGCCCAGGCAAGAGCAGGCGCTGACACAGAGGGTTTGTATGCAACACAGTGTCGTTTCTCTTAAAGCCTTTTATTCACAGACACGGTACAGACACATGGAAAATCTGCATGATCACATCCGAGAGGGCAGCATACCCCTGGCCAGGCCCACAGGGCCAAACCCGACGCAGTGCACAAGGAAGCTCAAGTGTTTGAAGCAGACATTTCGTGGACATGCGACAGTTAACAGAAGGAACCCAGCATTCAGTATTCCTCCCCTTCCTCCTCTCCCTCTCCTTCCACAGAATCCACCCCCACCTCCTCATAATCCTTCTCCAGGGCAGCCATATCCTCACGGGCCTCCGAGAACTCCCCTTCCTCCATGCCCTCCCCCACGTACCAGTGCACGAACGCCCTCTTGGCGTACATCAGGTCAAACTTGTGGTCCAGGCGGGCCCAGGCCTCGGCGATGGCCGTGGTGTTGCTCAGCATGCACACGGCACGCTGCACCTTGGCCAGGTCGCCCCCGGGCACCACCGTGGGTGGCTGGTAATTGATGCCCACCTTGAAACCAGTGGGGCACCAGTCCACAAACTGGATGCTACGCTTGGTCTTGATGGTGGCGATGGCGGCGTTGACATCCTTGGGCACCACGTCCCCGCGGTACAGCAGGCAGCACGCCATGTACTTGCCGTGCCGCGGGTCACACTTCACCATCTGGTTGGCCGGCTCAAAGCAGGCATTGGTGATCTCGGCCACTGAGAGCTGCTCGTGATAAGCCTTCTCAGCAGAGATGACCGGGGCATAGGTGGCCAGAGGGAAGTGGATGCGGGGGTACGGCACCAGGTTGGTCTGGAATTCTGTCAGGTCGACATTCAGGGCTCCGTCAAAGCGCAGCGAGGCTGTGATGGAGGACACGATCTGGCTGATGAGGCGGTTCAGGTTGGTGTAGGTGGGACGCTCGATGTCCAGGTTGCGGCGACAGATGTCGTAGATGGCCTCGTTGTCCACCATGAAGGCACAGTCGGAGTGCTCCAGGGTGGTGTGGGTGGTGAGGATGGAGTTGTAGGGCTCCACCACGGCCGTGGACACCTGCGGGGCCGGGTAGATGGAGAACTCCAGCTTGGACTTCTTGCCGTAGTCGACAGAGAGCCGCTCCATCAGCAGGGAGGTGAAGCCAGAGCCGGTGCCACCGCCAAAGCTGTGGAACACCAGGAAGCCCTGCAGCCCTGTGCACTGGTCAGCCTGCAAGGTGGGAAGAGGAAAACAAGACCAAACTGTCAGTACTTCTCCATTTCAGATGCTACTGACTTGCCCAGGAAGATACATATTTCCCCCAAGGATCTTCGATTTTTGGGGCACCTCTGCCCACTCCACTTCCAGCCACATCACTCTGTGACCCAAAATGACCTGCCCTCAGTAAAAGAGACCCCTTCCTGCCCTCTCCCTTCAGCTGCTTCCTCCTATGATCCTGGAAATCTGCTTGAAGGAAAGGGGAATCCACTTGAACTGTCCCAGCAAGAGTTAAATACTTGGCACAGCTGCTCATAAGCAGTTGGTCAAGCAGGATCAGAGTCCAGATCAAGGAGAAACCTCACATGACCTTAAAAAAGGGATGTAATAAGGTCTTCCAGGGACAGAAATGACACAGATTCCCTTGCACTCCTGGAAATTGCCATGCTCAGGGTATACATCCTGACCTGAGGGGTTGCAGAGTCCTGAGTAAAGGGATTCAGGTCAAGGGGAAGGGAAGGGGCCGATTATTATCAATTAGAGGATCCAGACCCCATAGGGAGCCAGTAAGTGCTGCAGGGTAACACATGACTCACAACAGATCCATATAGATCCTGGAGACACAACAGGGATCATGCAGATCCCACCAGGACGGCAGGAGGTCTGTCCTGGGACAGCCCCACCCTCTGCCCCAAAGTGCTGATGGGCTGAGCAGGACCTGCCCAGGGACACCTGGAGCTTCCTTTTGTCCCTTCATCCCCCGCAGGGATGGACCCACCCCATGAGACCCCACAGGACGCTCACCAGCTTGCGGATGCGGTCAAGGACCAGGTCGATGATCTCCTTGCCGATGGTGTAGTGCCCGCGGGCGTAGTTGTTGGCAGCATCCTCCTTGCCCGTGATCAGCTGCTCGGGGTGGAAGAGCTGCCGGTACGTCCCGGTGCGCACCTCGTCTGCGGGGACAGCCCCGGGCCCCGTTAGCACCCAGCGCCCGCTGCCAGCGCCCGCCCCGCCTCAGCGCCCGCCCCCCGCGCCCTCACCGATCACCGTGGGCTCCAGGTCCACGAACACGGCCCGGGGCACGTGCTTGCCGGCGCCCGTCTCGCTGAAGAAGGTGTTGAAGGAGTCGTCCCCCCCGCCGATGGTCTTGTCGCTGGGCATCTGCCCGTCGGGCTGGATGCCGTGCTCCAGGCAGTACAGCTCCCAGCACGCATTGCCGATCTGCACGCCCGCTTGGCCCACGTGGATGGAGATGCACTCGCGCTGTGGGGGCACACACGGCACCGGGTCACC